TGAAGATAAGTCAAAGGTCCTGCTTGACCATGGTTGGCTTCGCTTAGCATGGAGGAAATGATTCCTCTGTGTTGACCCTCCTCTTTATAGACTGGACACTGGTTCAAGTCCATCTGTTGGGGTCTCCTCGGCCTCCTTGATCAAGAGGACAGGTGACCCACCACCAGTATAATTGGAAGTATAATAGGGACCAGCCTTTAGATGCTCCCTTGTGGTGTTTCTTTCTACCCTACAAAATAAGATAATCACTCAATGCATTCATATTTTACATTTTATATAGGATTGATACATGAATCCTGTTTTGTACATGTGCAGAGAGGCCATCCAGCATCACAAGAGTATTGCACCACATGTCACTAGCCCAAGAGAAGAAAAAGTACATTAATCAAATATGATTTTCAGTTAATAGATGTTTTGGAGGTTGGTATCCCTAAAATATGTGTCAAAAAAGAAAAAAAGTCCTTTAAGTTTCCCAGAACTTGTTAACTTACCATGATAAAGTGGCACTTTACAATATAAAGGTGATTATAACAATCAAAAAAATTGTTACTTTAATATCAGTTTTTGTCAAGAAGAAAGCTTATTGGCATTACATTGTCATTTAATGATAAAGAAATAGTTATGTTTAACTAACCAAGAAAGAAAGGAAAAAGCTATGACATCAAGGAAAATTTTTAGATTAAAAACATAAAACAACCAACAAGGGGTAGTGAGATGGCTTGGTGGTTAAGAGTACCGACTGTTCTTGCAGAAGACCTAGATTCAGTTCCCAGTACTCACATGGTGGCTCACAATCATTTTTTAATTCCAGGGATCTGGCACCCTCTTTTAGCTCCCACAGGGACTGCACACACATGGTGCACTTGTTTACATGCAGGCAAACACTCATATACAGAAAATGAAAATAAATATATTTTTTAAAAGCAGCAAAATTTCAAGTTTAGTTTGACCCTTCCTTTTAATTTTATTTTTGTGTAAGCATGTGTGGGTGTGCATGATGTATATGAGTGGATGTGTGTGCCATGGCATACACATGGAGGTCAGAGGACAGCTTTGCGGAATAGTTTTCTCCTTCTACTTTATGTGGGTTCTGGGGATCAAACTCAGTTCATCAGACTTGAGACTGAGGCAAGCACTTTTACCTATTGAGCCATCTTGCAAGCTCCTTGTTTTTTTGTTTTTGTTTAAAAATTTTTATTTTATTTTAATTATGTGTGTGTGTGTGTGTGTGTGTGTGTGTGTGTCTGTGTGTGTCTGTATGCTGGCATGTGCACTTGTGTGCAGGCACTGGATCCCTCCTGAGCTGGAGTTGCAGGTCGGTGTAAGCTGCCCCGTGTGAATGCTAAGAACCAAACTTGAGTCCTCTGGAAGAGCAGTATGCTCTCTTAACTGCTGAGCCATTTCTCTAGTCCTTGTTTCTTTGTTTTTGAATAAGGTCTGCCAATACCTTCTGAGTACTGCAGTAATAGCCATGCACCATTATGTCCAGCTAGGGCACCTGAATGCAGAATGGATTATTTGTTGCTAGTCACTACTAATTGTTATTTATGCTCTGTAATCTTAGGGCGGTTCCACGCAGCTGATCGGTCAGAGTTAATAAAGACCACAGAAAACATAGACATGTCAGTGGATGTGAAGCCATCCTGGACTACCCGAGATGTGGCTCTTTCAGTTCACCGAGCTTTCAGGTGCCTGCTTTTTGTTGGCTTTTCTTAAGACAAATGTTAACTGAATTTCATCACTAAAAATAAAAGTCTTAGCTATTCCATACTTTAAACAAAATTGAGAACTTAAAATAGTACATAGATATAGATATATTTTTGTAGACATTCTACTAGAGTTAAATGATTCGCCCATCAAAAGAAAAGGCTTGGGGCTGGGTATATAGCTTAGTGGTAGAGCACTTGCCTAGCCTGCGTGTGGTCTTGGGTTCCACCCCCTAGTACCACACACGTACACACACACACACACACATACACACACACACACACACACAGTGGGGCGGGGGCTGGTGTTTACTTTTTAATATGTTGAATTTTATTCTTGTATGTGAAAAGATGACTTTTTATTTTAGTGATTCCTGTATAATTAAACCCTTTTCCATGTAGGATGATCGGTCTCTTTTCTCATGGCTTCTTGGCTGGCTGTGCTGTGTGGAATATTGTTGTGTTATATGCTCTAGCAGGAGATCAGCTCTCTAACCTCCCCAACCTTCTGCAGCAGTACAAGACCTTAGCATATCCATTCCAGAGTCTTCTCTACTTGCTTTTGGCTCTAAGTACAATTTCAGCATTTGACAGGTAAGACTGTTGTGACTGGAGCCTTCTAACTTTTCTCCAGGAAGAAATGTTGAAGAAAACTTGTCCCTAACTATGACAGTTTTCAAAATAGAATGATAGGCTATTAATATAACTTTAACATTAAAAAAGTCTTTGGATTATCATGGCTTTATCTTAGCTTTATTGCATCTGCAAACATCCTTTTTCCAAATAAAGTCATACTCATAAGTACCAGGGATTAGGCATTCAGCATATATTTGTGGGAACACAATTCAACTCATTAAAAATTAAATCACCAGGGCCAGAGAGATGACTCAGTGAGTAAAGATGGTTGCCTGCTATCAAGTCAGATGACCTGAGTTCAATCCCTGGGACCCACATGTTGGAAGGAAAGAACTGACTCCTGAAAGTTGTCCTCTAATTTCTACATGTGTGCTGTGCCATATGAATGCTGTAGTACATATGTGCATACACACATCAATATAAATGAAATCTAATAAAAATTTTAATCACAAAAATACCTGTTTTTAGTGTAATGGACTAGTAGAAGAAGAAACTAATGAATTTTGCAGGTTAAGGTTAATTTCTTTCTTTGGGATGTCTTAATACTAAAGAGATGTTGCCTAAAACAGTCTTCTTGTTAGACATTTTACATGATCTTTGTAAATAGGATAGTCTTTAATATATAAATTTAAATTTCACTTACTTAAAGCCTAGTAATAGGTAATGTACATGGTACCAGTATACTAGAGGAAGAAAAGCTAGTCAAGAAGGTAAAGTTTGGTTAAGTTTACAACTGTGACAGGAAGCTTTTGTAATTCTAGGATTGACTTTGCTAAAACATCAGTAGCAATCCGAAATTTTTTGACTCTGGATCCAACAGCTTTAGCTTCTTTCTGTAAGTAACATTTAACTTGATAACTATGTTATAATTGAGGAGTTATACTGTAATTTTTAATAAAAATATTTTGTAAAAGTTTTATATTATTGCTTTTTTGTTATGTTTATTTTATGTGTATGAGTGCATTGCCTGCATGTAGGTAAGTGCACCTGTGTCGTGCAATTCCCCCAGAGGACAGAAGAGGCCATCGGATCCCCTGGAATTGGCGTTGCGGATAGTTGTTAGCTGCCGTGTGGGTGCTGGGATTTGAACCCAGGTCTTCTGCAAGAAAAACCAGTGTTCTTAACCACTGAGCCATCTCTCCAGCTCCTATTGTTGTGTTTTATAAATAATTACCTACAGCTGTTCAGTGAATTTGTAATTAAAACATGGTAGGCATAATTTTTTTTTTTTTCTTTTTTGGTCTTTTTGAGACAGGGTCTTGCTGTAGTCCCAGCTGTCCTAGAAATCACTATGTAGACCAGGCTGGCTTTGAACTCACAGAGATCCACCTGCCTCTGCCTCCCAAGTGCTGGGGTTAAAGGCGTGTGCCACCACACCTGGCCTGGTAGGCATAATTTTTATTTTTTATTTTTTGAGTTGGGGTCTCATGTAGCCCAGGCTGGCTTTGAACTTTCTAGGTAGCTTAGGATAACCTTGAACTCCTGGTCCTCCTGCCTCTACCTTAAGTGCTGGGATTTACAATCATGTGCCACTGTACCTGTCTCAGTAATATTTTTCATTACAGATTCATCTAAATAACTTTCAAAGTTTAGTTTGAGGGGCTGAGAGATGGCTCCACAGTTAAGAATATGTTTGGCTCTTGTAGAGACCCAAGTTTGGTTCCCAGCACCCATGTTAAATAGCTCACAACTCCCTGTAACTCCAGTTGCAGGGGATCTGATACCTCTGACCTCCACTGGCTTCTGAACTCATGTGTACATACCCCCATACATACACATAATTTAAAAAATTTTAAATATGTATTTAAAAAATTTTAATATATTTTTTATGTGTGAGTGTTTTGCCTGCATGTGTTATAATTACACTATGTGCATCCAATGCCCAGGGAAGAAAGAAGAGGGCATTGGATCCCCCTGGAACTGGAGTTATAGGTGGTTGTTAGCTACCTTGTAGGTGCTGGGAACTAAACCCAGATCCTGTGAAAGAGCAGCCAGTGCTCTTAATCTCTGAACCATCTCTCCACCACCCCCCCAAATTAAGTCTTTCTAAAGATTTGTACATGAGGTTCTGGGTTCAGTTCCCAGCACCAAAAATGACAAGTAAATGTTTAATTTGTTGGTTTTTACTACTTACTTAGTGTTTGTATTCTCTGCTCGACATCAAGCAAATCCAGCTGGCATGGCCTTTTAATAAGCACCATTTTACGTAGTCTGGTAATTTAAAATATATTTTGTTCTAAGTTATGAGACTACTACTAAAGCTAGTTTGGGAACCTTAGGCAAGTCGTTTAAATTCTCAAAAGAGCTTCTAGATTCTTGTCAGTTCTAATGATAAATAATGATCATCTAAGATGCTCTGTGCCTGTGTTACCCAAAATAATAAAAAACTGTCAATTAAAACTGATTGAGTGAATTTCTTTTGTGACGTTATTCACCAAAGTATGGATTGTTTTGACCTTAAAGTAACCTGTAAATTCAAGATAAACCAAGTTGTTAAAAATTATTGGTAATTTCACTTGTATTTTTTTTTTTTCCCCTCAGTGTACTTTACTGCTCTAATACTCTCTCTGAGTCAGCAAATGACAAGTGACAGAATCCACCTTTACACACCTTCTTCTGTTAATGGTAGCCTCTGGTAAGAATTCACAGTATTATTAGTGGTTGTTGATGGTAACAGCAGCAACGGTGGGAGTAATGATACTTTTCCTTTCATGCCTGTTCATGTTTTCATAATACAGCCATATTTTTGTTTATAATAAACCATGAGAAGAAAGTATTTGTTCTGTTGGCTAATGAATAACTACCATTATATATACTTGTATTTCTTTTTCTTGAGATGGAGCCTCATATAGCACAGGCTGACCTTGAACTTGCTATATAGCTGAGAGTAGCCTTGAACTCCTGATCCTCCTACTTGTACCCCCCAAGTTCTGTGATTCTAGGCATGAGCCACCGCTCTCAGCTTATACCTACATTTTCTTAAAATGAACTGTTTTCTTTTCAAAAATGTTTTAAACTTGCAGTCATCATATAGTGAATTGGAGGAGCTCTTCACCTTTATCCCCAGGCAGAGAACCCAGTTCCTCAGAACAGTGATGAGGGAGGGTAGCTGGGACTGAGCCAGAGAGCTAAGTACTGCTAGGTGGAGCAGACTAGGGAGCATTGACATTGGCAGGCCAGTGACCAGCTGACAGGATGGCTGAAATTCCAGTGTAAAAGGGCAGTCTTTTGAGAGAGTGGATGGGGGTGGGGCAGTAAGAGAGAAAGGAAAGGTTCACAATTGAAGAACATTGCCATGGTAGTTGGAAGGGAAACTTTGGGGACATTTTTGGGGGAATACCAACTTTTCATTTATACTAATATATAGAGATCTGTTTGGAGTTTAAATAACCTTTGAACTTTGATGATACATGTTTTGGGAGATGTGTGTATGTTTAGGGAATTATACTTTGTTTCATGCTTTACTTGTTTTTTTCTCAGGGGAGGATTTTAAAGTTCACAAAATAGTTACATTTGGGTTTATGAACAAAAATGAAGTCATTTCTAATGAGTATTTCTGTTTGTAGGGCAGCAGGAATTGAGGGACAGATCCTCCAGCCATGGATTGTGGTGAATCTGGTGGTGGCCCTTCTGGTTGGATTATCCTGGCTTTTTTTGTCTTATAGGCCAGGCATGGATCTCAGTGAAGGTATTAAAGAAAAAATGAGTATCTGAACTCTTTAATAACTTTATAAGTCTTCCAATGATATTTCAGTAACAAGGACATTTAAAATAAAATAAGAGGACAGTGAGAGCAGTGTGGTATAACAGTGACAGGAAAAGCAGGGACACGGGGCGCTGGAGCATTGGAGTCTGGCAGCACTTAATGAAGAGAGCCTGTGGCCTTGTGCGTCTTCACGTCTTCACGTGTATCATCTCTTGGAACTCTTCGTGTAATTGATAAAGCTCTGCTTTCATTACTCTTCATCTCCTTAATTTGAATTAAATCATGCTTCATCTGTCTAGTCTGTCAGACACATTGAAATGAATTATTCTTATTTCCTTGACTAAAAGTCTTTATTTGTTTTGTTTTGTTCAAAAGAGGGTCTCCCTGTAGCCCCAGCTGGCCTAGAACTCGCTTATACACCAGCTGGCTTTGGTCTCACAGAGATCCACTGGCCTCTGCCTTTCAAGTGCTGCAATTAAAGGCATGAGCCACCATGCCCAGTTCCTTGGCAAAAATTCTTAACCCTTCATTGTCTAACTCAGTGTTTAGTTTGTTTAGTTACCTTACTTTTAACGTGTCTAGTGCCCAATGAAATCACTAATCACTAATCTTGACCTAAGTCCCCTTTTAGAACAGCCAAAGAAGAGTCATCTTAGCAAACTGCTAGCTCATCAGAAGTGCCCTAGGGACTGCTCAGTGTTTGTACTTCCTTGACAGGAGTTCGATATTTTCTTCCTCGAATCTTATGAATATTTTCTGCACTTTGGTTATTTCATTTTTGGTTTGATCAATAAGTGGCAGTGTATCTGTCTCAAAAGTCTTAGAATAGACATTCTTCCCAACATTTCCATTTATAAAAACAAAACCAGCAGGCATGATAGCACCTGCCCGTAATCTCAGAAGGAGGCAGCAGGATTGGCTGCTCTGAGATACCTAGTGAGATCAAAGCCAGCCATAGCAGGAGACCCTTTTTTTTTTAATTACTTTATTTTTAATCGTGTGTGTGTGTGTCTGTGTGTAGGCATGTTCACTTGAGTGCAGGTGCCCATGGAAACAAGAGGCATCAGATCCCCCTGGAGCAGTAGTTACAAATGATATAGGTGCTGGGAATTGAACTTGGGTTTCCTGGAAGACCAGTAAACACTCTGACCACCAGCCCAAAGAGATCCTTTCTTAACCAAAGCAAACCAGATCAGACTTGAACAAACTAGAATGTAATTTTCTTGTGTATTACATTCGTGAACATACCTTTTTGCATTGTAATTCTCATGTTGTTTTACCAAATATTCTGCTTTATTAATGTACTTAAAATATTTTTTAAAATCTTAGGCTTTGGGCCTGGGGAGCTGATTCAGTCAGTGAAGTGCTTGCTGTGTAGATAGCATGAGGGCCTGAATTTGGATCTCCAGCACCCATCTAAAAACTAGGTGTGGTGTTGTATGCAGTAATCCCCATGCTGAGGAGGCAGACAGGTTGATCTTGGAGCTCAATGACCAGCCAGTCTAGTCAAACCGATAAGCTTCAGGTTCAGTGAGAGACCCTATCTCTAAAAATAAGGTAGAGAGTGACAAAGGAAGACACTGACATCAACCTCTGGCCTCTACATGCACACACACACACACACACACACACACACAAACATGTACATGAGCCACATATCTATACACACCAAAATATGTTGCACTTTTTTTCTCACTTGGTACAGTTTTTGGTTATTCAAAGAAATTTTAGTCTAATGACTTTTATCAGGACTTTTATTTACTATATTATCAAGATTTGATTTGTCTATATTTTTTGACATTTTATTAATAAATGACATATCGGGGCCAGGTGTGGTGGTGCACACCTTTAATCCCAGCACTTGGGAGGCAGAGGCAGGTGGATCTCTGTGAGTTCAAGGCCAGCCTGGTGTGCAGAGCAAGTTCCAGATCATCTGGGGCTACAGGAAGACCCTGTCTCAAAAAAAAAAAAAAACAAACAAAAAAAAACAATGATAGTAAATGACATACGTATGGTAAGCAGTAGTTTAATTATAAAAATGTCAACTAATAGTATTCTGTAGTATTGCTGGCACTGGTGCTACATCTTACTCACTTTTGCAGGGTTCAGTCTCTATCACAAAGTATGTGGGCACTAGTAAGAATTCTATAAATCTGGTATCTTAGGGATGGGAATTTTAAACATTAAAATAAAATCGGGACAATACCTAGTTTATTGGTCACTGGATACCATTACAGTAGGATTAGCAACTTTGTGTGTGTGTGTGTGTGTGTGTGTGTGTGTGTGTGTGTGTGTGTTGAAATGGGACAGCATATTTAAGGTCTAGTAACTAGACACCTAATGTTAGTTCTAAATTCTTCCACATCTGTCCCCTGCATTTAAAATAGGTGTAGAACGACTTTGGGAAACCTGGGGGAACAGAAGGAGATGGTGTTTTTTTATTTTGTTTTTGTTTGGGGGCTTTCTTTTTGAGCCAGGGTCTTCCTGTAGCCCCAGCTGTCCTGGAACTCACTTCGTAGACCAGGCTGGCCTTGAACTCATAGAGATCCACCTGCCTCTGCCTTCCGAGTGCTGGGATTAAAGGTGTGTGCCACCACGCCTGGCCAGAATTAGAACTTTTAGTTTTTTAATGATCCTTGGTTTTCTAAATGACTTAAATTTCTTTGTAAGATTTGTTACATTTTCTTTATTATATGTGATTTATTTTTCATGGGCTAATAATGAATTCAAAATTTGAAACTTTAAGCCAGATGTGGTGGCACATGCCTTTAATACCATCACTAAAGAGGCAGAGGCAGGTGGATCTCTGTGAAGTCAAGGCTAGCTGGTCTATATAATGAGTTCTAGGCCAACTAGGACTGCATAGTGAGACCCTGTCTCAATATGTGTGTGTGTGTGTGTGTGTGTTTGTGTGTGTGTGTGTATTAGCGTAACTTGAGTATGTTAAAGCTGTAATGAAATGCTTCTAAAAAAAGTAAAAGTCACTGTGAATATTTCTTATGCCGGACTTTCTATTACTCTGCATATGTCAGTATTTCAACAGACTGTAACTAAGCTATAAAACTCTTGGTTGAGAAACTGGGAAAACATCTTAAGTATGATGTGTTCATTTTCTTCTCCAGAGTTAATGTTCTTCTCTGATGTGGAAGAGTACCCTGACAGAGGAGTCAAAGCCTCTTCATAGTGCCAGCTCACCTTCACTGCTGCAGTGACCCAGTATCTTCCTCACTTTATTTTTAAGTGAATTTTTATAAGATATGTGTATGTGTATTTGTAATTGAGCTTTTGATTATATGATGCTGAGATGCCTCTGAAGATTATGGAAAATGTTTAAATTATCTGGTCTTTGAACCCAAACATGAATTTCTATAGTATTATCACCTTAAAGATAAAGGAGATAATGAGCTAAAATAAGCAGGTGTTTGCTTCCTGTTCTCTCAGATTTGCTATATCCATAATCATTATTGAAAAGCACTAATTTCAAAAAAACCATAACTTCGGTGTTATAAAATATATATCAAGTTTAGTTGTTAATCTAGAGAATAGGGGGTAGAAGGGAAAAATGCTGACATATATTTTTGATGTCTTCTTGCTAAACACATTGAAATACAAAATTTGTCCTTTCTGAACTTGGCTTAGTAGTTGTGTTTCATGTAATAATTATAATGTAATTTCAATGGCACAATGCTTTACTTCATGGCTAATAAAACAAAGATGTATCTTTTTGTTTGAAAAGTTTTATAAACTGAAGATTTTTCCCCTTTAAAATCTGTACAATGTGTTCCCATATCTGGCTGCACATCAGAATCATGTAGGGAATTTTAGAAAACATCTGTAGCAGCTGGGCATGATGGTGTATGCTTGTAATCTAGCAGTTTGGAGATGGACTTCAAGGCCATCCTCAGCTACTTAGCAAGTTTGAGTCCAGCCTGAACTATGTGAGAGCCTGTCTCAAAAAATCAAAACAACAGACCCAAACATAGCAAAAGAGAAGCTGAGCCACAGCAAAACTCAGGAGGCCTGTGAGTTTGGGCTAACCTCTGCAATATTTTTTCCTTTCCATTGATAGGTGTTTGTTCTGATTTGCTTTTCTATCTCTGTGAAAAAACACTGTGACCAAAACCAACTTCAAGAGGAAAGGGCTTATTTGACTTACACGTCCTCTTCACAGTTCATCATTAAGAGAAGTTAGGCAGGCAGAAACCCAGGACAGGAACCTGGAGGCCTGCTGCTTACTGACTTGCTCCTCTGGTCTGTGTATAGCCTGCTTTCTTAACCCAGAACCACCTGTCCAGAGGTGACCCCACCCACACTGGGCTGGGCCCTCCTACATTACTCAACAATCAAGAAAAAGCCACAGGCCAATCCCATAGAGAAAATTTCCCATTTGAGGTTCCTTCTTCCCAGGTGTGTCAAGTTGACAACTAAAGCTATCCAGCAGTGTTGGATACCCAGGGTCTCACACATGGTAGACAAGTACCCTACCATTGAGCCACATCCTTCACTCTTCTGTTTCTTTTTGTTGGTTTTCTGGGAATGGGTCTTACTATATACTCCAGAGTAATCTCAAACTCCTGACCCTCCTTCAGCCTCTTGAATGATGAGATTACAGATACCCAGTTCTTTGAGTGGCCAGAAACATAAGTGGAAATTCACCATCCTCATTCTCAAGTTCTTTGTCAGAAATCTTTGGCCTTACAGGAAATTCCACTCCTGAGGTGGGTTTGTTGTGCCCAGTTCGTGAGACCCCAAAGACCACCAAGGAGCCGACCGATGCAAACACACAAGCGTTCTTTTATTGTTGCAAGCTTAAGCTTGGGTCCACTCTGTCACTGACTCAGCGAATCTCAGATGTGAGACCCCTTGCTTTGGGAGACAGAGGTTTTTATAGGTTTCGTTCAGCAAGTTCAGCAAGTAGGAGAGTAGGGGGTCTTCAGCCTGGCAAGCATCTGATTGGCTGCAGGTCAGTGCCAAACCATAAACTGCTGGCTTCAGGAAATCTGAAAAGATATCTGGACTTTTAGTACTTTTCTGTCCCTGGTTAATTGACCATTGGTGGGGGAGTTGTTCTCTATTTGTTCCAAGTATTGTGGTTTTTCTTGGAACAGGGCCCAGGGCTGGGTCAGTCCTATGGAGGTTTTATCCAAGATGGAGTCACTGAGGTCTCTCAGGTTCTGCACAGAAAAAGGTGTCTTTATGCACATCAAATGGTTCTTCAGCTGGTGTCTATGACTTGCAATGAAAAGAAGTGGCTTAAAGGCTGTTGGACACATCACTGAAACCATTGGACATGCCCTGAGTGCTGTTGGACATGCCCTGAATGCTTGAGGTTCCAGATGGTTGGCCCTGAGGATTGGCCTATATTTTGTGGAGGTGCAATACTAAGAGTATCTTTTATTGTCTATAAGGCTAGAGCTGCTGGATAGATGTTCACTTGTGTCACAGAATTGTGAATTTACAGGAGAGTCTGGTCATCCTGTCAGTTTCCGTTTTCACTGTAATGGGCAATGATTGTTGTGTTGACAAGCTGGTAGTATAGGAGTTCATGGTCTGCTTGTCAGCAACTGCAGGGAATCCATGCTCAATGAGCCAAAGTTTACCACACCTGAACAGTATCATCAAGGAGAAAGAGGGAAAGCAGCTATCAACTGGGGAATTGCAGTAGGCCGAATGATGTCCCCTAAAGACATCCATGTCCTAATTACTGGAGTTCATGAATATGCTGCTACTTTGCACAGCAAAAGTGAGTTTGTAGATGTGATTAAGGATAAGAACCTTGAAATTTGGGACAGTATCCTCCATTATGCAGATGGCCAAGTGTAATCCAGTGATTTTAAAACCGCTTTTGCTTTTTACTTATTTTATGTGTATGAATGTATTGCCTTATTTTATGTGTATGTAAGTGTACCCATGTCTTGCAGTGTCCACAGAGGCTAGAAGAGGGTGTCGGATCCTCTGGAACTGGAGTTATGGCTAGCCACCATGTGGGTGCTGGGAACTGAACCCAGGTCCTCTGCAAGAGCAGACAGTCTCTTAACCTCTGAGCCATCTCTCCTGCCCACAGTGATTTTTTTAAAGGACAAATGTTTCCATATCTGATCAAAAAGCTATTAAGAGTTGTGATAGTAATGTTTTTAAAGATGGAAGAGGGGCTATATAAGCCTTTAGTGGCCTCTAAAGCCTGGGAACAGACTTCTAGCCAACAGCCATCAAAGAAACATCACAGCCCCACAATTGCGCAGAACTAAATTTTACCAGGAGTGAGCAAGGAAACATTTTCCTTTAGAGCTTCCAGAAGGAAATGCAGATGTGTGGTACCATGAGTTTTCCCCAGTTATATCCATATTGGACTTGATATACAAACATACAAGATAACAAATATGTGGTATATAAGCTGCTAGGTTTGCTCCAACAGCCTAGAGACTAAAGAAGCCTTGCACTGCTGTGGAATGCAATTGGAGAAAGCTGGCTACATTGATAATGTAATAGCAGACATTGGAGGAGTTGTCTTTGAATTCTTTCAGGTCTGGTAAATAAAAATATGAGTTGGGTTTCAGACCCCAGCAAGTACATAATCCCTGAGCAACTGATGGAATTGTGCAAATCTTTCATTAACAAAACCCCAATAGCATTCATCAAAGATTCCTTTGACCGTGATAGGAAAAAATGAAAGTTTACTGCAAATGGATGCTTCACAGTGATTAACTGAAGGCAAATTTGCTAAGACTATAGATAAGAATATCAGACCTGGGCTAGAGCGATAGCTCTGTGGTTAAGAGTACTGGCTGCTCTTACAGATGACCTGGGTTCTATTCCCAGCACCTGTATGGTGGCTATCAATTGTCTCTAACTCCAGTTCCAGGCAGTTTGGTACCCTCTTCTGAGCTCTATGGCATTGCACAATACAGGTGCGCTTATACACACACAGACAAAACACTCATACACATTTAAAAAAATCAGACATATTGAATCTGAATCTTTGAGGATGAAGCCTAGGTTTATGGTAGGAGGAGGGGGAAGGGAGAAGAGAAAGAAAACATGGTAAACCTCCCATCTGTCTTCTCGAGGCTCATGGTCTGCTTAGACATAGGGATAGGGTGGCAGAATCTAGGAAATGTTTGTAGGTAAGATCGGATATGAGCAGGTACCTTGTCAAAAGGTTGGGATTTCTACTGGTAGAGATGTGACACACAAAAAGGCCATAAAGGTGAGTGAGCTCATCACTTAAAAAAATTGTATGTGTGCATGATGAGTGTGTGCAGGTGCATGTACCACACTGTGCATGTGGAGGTCAAAGGACAACTTTAGGGAGTCAGTTCTCTCCTTCCTCCTTTACATGGGTTCTGGGGATCAAACTTAGGTACCTGAGTTTTGTGGAAAATGTCTTTACTTGCTGAGCCATCTCACCAGCCTGGTTCAACACTTTAAAAAGTTTATTTTTATTTAAGTGCATGAGACAAACGTGTGCATGTCACATCTGTGCAGGTGTCCATGGCCAAAAGAGGGTTTTGGATTCCCTGGAGCTGGAGTTACATGGGGTTGTGAGCCTCAGGAAATAGGTACTGAACTTTGGTTCTCTGGAAGATCAGTAAGAACTTTTAACCACTAATCCATCTCTCAAGTCCCTCAGCGTAGCACTTTTTGTTTGGGGATTCTAATTTATCTTCATGTGTATGACTTTTGCCTTCATGTATGTAAATGCACCCATGCATTCGATGCCTTCAGAGGGCATCAGAACACCTTGAGCTAGAGTTACAAATGGTTCTTAGCCACCATGTGGGTTCTGGGAACCAAACCTGGGTCCTCTGGAAGAGCAGCCAGTATTCTTAACTCCTGAGCCATCTCCCCAGCCCCCATATTTGGAGATTTTTAAACAAAAATTTTTAGAGAAATCAGTGTAGATTTAATGTTAAATTTTTGCCTTGTTTGCTTTTTCTTTATCCTTTTTTGCTTCAAAATCTTTTGAAGGAAGTTGCTAACACCATGAATATTTCAGCATGTACAGTCTAGAAATTAAGTACCCTTCTCTATGAATGCACAATATCATTAAAACAACTGGAAAACATAATTCCATAATATCTAATATCTAGTGCATTCTCAAGTTTCCCTAGTTGTCCCTCAAGGTATAGTCAAGATTTACATATTTCATTTGGTACTTATCTTTCAATTAAAAAGTTATATTTTTAATTTAAAATTTTTTACATTTATTTGTTTGTGTGTCTCTGTATGGATACATGTGGCAAGATCAGAGGCTAACTTACAGGAGTTCATTCTCTCCTTCTACCATTTGGGTTCCAGGAATTGAACTCAAATCGTCAGACTTGGTAGCCGGTGCCCTTACTTGCAGAGCTATCTCTGCAGCCCTAAATTGTTTTCAGGTCTTCCTTTTCCTACTCTGTGACCTCTTTCACCGAAACCTAGTGTTGGGGTTATAGGCGTGTACTACTTGCCTTGCCTGCAACCAGAATATTAACCTTGATTCATCCCACCCATCTTGCTTAGAGTTTCCCAGTTTTACTTAGAAATTTTTAAAGTTTTCTATAATTTTTACCATTTGTGTACTTGTATCAGTATCTGCTGCTGTGGCCAAAATATTGAACAGTTCTGAAACACTACAAGAATCCTCCATATTACATTTTAAATCATACCTTTTTCTTCCTACACTCCTCTCTCTGAAGCTCTAACTCATCCCTGATAACCACTTATTTGTCTTTTACTTCTAA